CGAAACCAAACCACAGCTGGTTAATCAACAGTGCGTAGTGTACCAATTTAAATGTAACCTGTGCGATACAGGGAGCTATGTTGGTTACACACGTGGGCATTTATATGCCCGCGTGGATAGCCATAAGAGCACGTCATCTTCAGTACGCAAGCACTACGACAACGACCACGCAGGTGCTGTCCCTGAGGACCTTCTTAGCTGTTTCAAAGTTCTCAAGAAGTGCATGAACAAATTCGATTGTCTTGTCAACGAGATGCTTTACATCAAACAATTAACACCGAGTTTGAACGTGCAAACGGATTCTATCCGTGCTAAAGTATTTGTGTAGCTACCTCCCCTATGCAAATTAGTTGTAACTCTTGAACTCGCATTTGTTATTGTATTTTCATTCGTACCCTTGATAATGGCGTCATGAAGTCGCCGAAACGTCGGGATATTATATCGTTCGTTTTTACATGTCTATGTCCTGCTTTTTTATATCTATTTGATAAAGTTTTCAGCATGTGTTACCTTTATGTGCAGAAGTTATCAAATGGTTTACAAATGGTTATCAAATGGTTAACATAACCCATATTGCCCGATCAAGAGGCTCATGATCATGTATGAAACGCAAGACTACAACCCGCCCATCCCACCCCAGGGGAAGACATCCATCACACAGTGATCTCGTGCGTGGGAATTTAACGTCTCCTACCCCTAACCCTGCAGGTGACGGGACCTTCATTTATTCGTCCCCATCGGAGAAGACTAGAATATCTAAACCATTTCTTGATGTAATAGAGAGGCAGCATATTCTTCTCAATTATTTTAAGACCTTGAATGTTGGTCCGACTGGGGCTCGAACCCTCGACCTCACGCACATCAGTCCATCGCTCTATCTATTGGGCTAGCCGGGAGGCAAAATGCGAGAAATAACGACGGAAAAGGGAAGGTTGAGGTGACAAAAAAAGGGGTGATTTAAAAAGAAGAGGAGATTAAACAACATACCATAGGCTTCCTTTAGAGAAGAACTCAACTCATGACTCACGGCAGCATAGTCGAATAAGCGCCAACTCTTACACTATATTTGTAGTGCGATAGACAAAAATATTTGGCATCTACTTACCAGTAACAGTCCATATAATATTCCTACTTCTTGAAAGTCGTTGAATAGAATTATTAGCCTCACACCTGAAGGCATACTCGCCAGCATTTTCCATTTCCCTAACCACGGTTCCTAAATTTCCCATATTTGAAACAATGACATTATTCTCGTACGACAAATAAGTGTGGACTAGTGGGTTGGCAACAGCACTGCATTCAAAGCTCACAGGAGTTCCTGCACAAACTTTGTTTTTTGCATTTGTCTTCAAGCTGACATTTGAGGGTTGATCTGAAATTAAATAGATAACTATTTTGCGGCTGTTCAGCACATTTTTTCGAAAGCGTCACCTGTCAGAAAATGGTGATTGCATTAATTTTATCCATCACAGATTATCACTGCCATGCCTTACTTAATAACACAAAGATCAAACACTATGCTCGAAAATCACTCGCTTCAGGGCGGCATGTACATATGCGGAGTATTACTCTCACTGGTACCAATAAGAACAATTGCCAACAACGGTGTCAAGTACTAAAACTACGTCATACCACGCCACTTATATGTCCACTCAGACTTTGTGGGAACTTTGATCGATCGATAAATCGACGCATATTTCATGTAATTGTGTTCAAGACAAGAAAAAATTCCGATTTTAGATGCCAATCACGTTTAAAACTCTTCAACTATGTAAAGGGATGCTAAAGAACAGTTAGCGAGCTAAGGAGGTTTAGCGTACAGCATGACAGGGTATTTCATTGGTAAAATGATTATGTGAACAGGCTCGTATAGGTACCGCGGCATTAGGAAGCGGGCTTTCTCATGTATCGTCACTTCAATAATTTTCCAGTGTCTAAATTCAGATAGATTATAGAAACCTCTGTAAGAGGAACCCTTTTGATTTAGTTTACAAAGTAAAAATTTGTGGGCGATTCCAAAATCACTGACCACAAATTTCTCAAGTTCTACGTTCCAAGGAAGTAACAATAAAGTAAACTTTTATCATGACCTTTTATATTTACTGACAGTCATTCGTTATATGGCCGTTTCTGAAGAGGACAAGAAACAGTCAAATTAAAGAAATCGATCAGCTAAAATCGATCTTGACCGTTATCTAGATTCTCCCATCTTAATCTATTTAGAGCAATTGTGACATCTGTGTGGTTCCCCTTAATAATCCTGAAAGGACTCAAAAACAGTATCACCGGATTAGACAGCAGGTAACGAGAGTGTAAAAATGTTGGCAATTGTAAATACGGATGAGGAACCCTCGAGCGAAAAAGCCTAAAGCAGTTGTAACTTTTGTTGTAATCAGTCCAAGATCGCAAAGCTCTGAATAAGAATTGATTGCTGAACTAGTCATTGATCTTTGAAAAGAGCGGCTTTGCGGATTGCATAGTACGAAGCTGAAATTTGCGAAGTGATTTTTATGTTGTTTAAACGGGAGACCAGTGACAGAAGTATAAATCCGAGCCCACGCGAGGGAACTGTAGCCCTCTCGTTTGGCTATCTAATAAGCATGTTATTATCAGAGCTTCGTAGGTCTGTGCTGGCGACCTCGGTCAAGATTCTTCGATGAAGGTATCTCAATCGCAGAATAAAAACTACGTTTCTTATTTTCTGGTAAAGAGGCGTTACATTTCAGTTTTCCAAAGCAACTTTGGTTTAATACTCACAGAATACACTGACAGCTGCTGTCTTAGTTTTGACTCCACATCTATTGTTTGCTTCACATTTGTAATCTCCAGCATCATTTCTGTCAATGTTAGTGAAGTTCAGTAAGTTCCCATCACTGCGCTGATTATTTCTAACTGTGATCCAAGCAACATTTGGCATTGGATCCCCAGTTGCCTCACAACTCTGGTTATATGCGTCACCTTCAGTTACAGTGTCTGAAGACCGGACAACTCTGCTTACAGATAGAGAATCTAAGAATAAGTACAAACCCGCAGTAAGTCAAGAAGTAAAGAGTTTGTCTGTTTCCATTTCTCTTCTGGCCGAGTTAGCTTCAAGTCAACTCAGGTGCTTAATTTCTATTGGAGAGTCTTAATCCACCCCTTTCCCTAATGTACTCTTTTCAACACATCTGAATTTAATTTCCGATACCCAAGCTACAGGTCATCTTTGTGCCTTTTTATCGTTACTCACGCGTCACACAGACCTAAGTTGCGTCCTACTTTTTATAACAAGATATGAAATGTTCTTTTCCTTACAGTTACGTTAAATTATTTTGCTGGAAAAGTGTATTCCATCTAGAACAGTGCTTTCAGTTTCCGTCATTGTTTCTTTGGGTGCTTTACCTTATCGTTCAAAAACTCTCGTTCTATAAAATAACTGAGAAAAAAGGCAAAATTTCACAACTTTGTTACGAAGACAACAGCGCCATTCAAGTGAGGATCTCTTCCTACAGAAAGGTTAAAACAAATCTTGTGTGAAAATTATTGAGCAATACAGGTACATTTAAAGAAAATTGACTTACACTTCACAATCACCTCCACTGTCTGATTAGCAGTATCCCCAACTCCATTAAAAGCTTTACACCGGTACGTGCCATTGGAACTTTTGCTGGCATTACTAATGACATAATTCCCATCTACAGAAGGCAGTTCATCACTGTCGGTGCCATTTTCCCACATTCTTGTCCAGGTGATATTCGGTGCTGGTTTACCAGTTGCATGACAACCCAAAGTAACCATAGAGCCCTCACAAACATCTTGGTCGTTGCTCGCATTTATAATCTCAGGGTGTTCTTTAAAAAAATATGGTTTTGAATTAAGTAACTGTGTCCTCTGAGAAAGTCATAAACTTTCTGTTAATACGACTGAGCAACACAGCATATTTTTCAAACGAATTTTATCCTAAATCCTTTACCATGTTCATTGTTGAAATACTCAAATTCAATAGGTCATGTTCAGAAAGTTTTAAACAAAGAAAATTAGGCCTGGTTAACGAAGTCGAGACTTAAAGTCGCTAAACTTCCCAAAAAGTGCTTCTTAAAACTGTATTTTTACGCAGCCACACCTCAAAAATTGGAAACATTGCAAAAGGAACCTTCCGCAGGGAAAGGAAGTCTGAGCCCTTTTTGTTAACTGAATCTCTGAGAGGTTTACTAGGAGGCCTCTACCTCATGCACTAGCCAGACTTTCATGGCTCCCTTTGAAACATTGCGAACAAGACTGTTCTGCAAAATTCACTGTAACGGTGATTCATTGTTAGTCCAACTTTTGCCCAATATGACAGGGAGAGGACTGGATGCCATACAAAACTGATTCAAATACACCATAGGGGGTGCATAGGTCAATTATGAGCCACAACCTCCCGTCATGGCTTTGTAAACTATCCGAACTGGATCTGATCTTTTTTTTTTCATGCCATATGAAATCTATCCCCAAAACTATTAAGTCCTCAATAAGAGTTAACTTCCTAACATATACCTAAAACTGTAACATTTACTTCATGATTAGCAAGAAGAGTCCCATTGATTTCTACACCGTACTCAATCTTGTATGTTCCTTCATCTTCTGTCCTGACGTTATTGATGAGTAACGTGGCTTGATCATTACGGTCAATCTTAATATGTGGGGCGCTAGGTTTAGCAAAACTACGAGACCCAGTAGCTTTTAAGAAGGCTGTTCCGCCAATCAGATCATAATTTGAACTTGCCTCATTAAACTTTGTCCATCTAATAAAATGAAATGTCTGACTCTTAGTCTGTTCATCAGCAGTAAGAGTGAACTTCCATGTGAGTGACAAGTCCACTCCTTTTGTTACCAATGTTGGATTGGCAGGTTGTACCGTCCAGTTAAATGATTCTGCAATTTATCAAAATTGTCATCTTTTTTGTAATTTATTCACATTTAAATCAATAACGTGTATCCCTTGGTATTACATCACGTAACTCGTGAATCTTAAACAACAAACGATAGAGGGAATAATGTGTGAGCGCGCTAGGTATGGAATTTCCCTTCGTTCATTCAACTCACTATCTCTTAGGTGAGCGCAACGAACGAGTGAGAGTTGAACGACAGAGGAGAAATTCCACATCTTCAAGCAACCATGTATTACTTTGCTCATAATATTAACAAGGTGAACCTTTACCAAAAAGAAAAAGTTGATTTTATTGATGAATGAAAAAAAAAATAGGATCCACAATCTGCAAAAAGTCCCAAAGTGTGTCCAGGATTAGGCTCAAGACGAAAGAATGCTTTGAATCATTACAAACTTAAGAATCAATTAAAAAATTCTGAGTTATTGCTTTTTTCTTCAGACAGAAGGAATCTTTTCTGGTACGCGGCCAAAATCAGCCTGTGGCAAATCTTCCAGATGTCGATTTTCGTTCTCTGCCGCGATAAATGCCTTTACAAAGGCCAGGTACTTCTCCTTCGGTTGCTCTTTCGTATTTAGTTTTTCTGTCTGTGAGCAATACGAGTTCCCGAGTTTTTGAAAAACGACCTTGGATTGAGAACAGTGAAGGCTTTGCCATTCATTCATCGACCTGATAGAGTGGCGCAAAAGGTGAGCAACATGTCAGCGGCTGATTGGCGATACCAGACACGCGTAAAAAAGTTTCGATATTTTACACGTTTTTGCCGAATCTTCACGGAATCCGCAATCACTGGCTAACTCGATAAGCAATCGAAGAGGACTATTACCTGTCTTCTTTCCGAGATTTATTCTCGACGAAGACCACCAACGTTTTAACAATTCTCTAGTTGTAACAGTTCAAAAATTTTTACAAATCTGCCTTAAACTACAATCTACTGCAATATTCAAATTTTGCCTTGTGTAACTAATAGCTAGTATTTTTCCAATATTCACGAGTACAGTAAAATCCCAAGCCAACCTATTGTAGAGTGCCAATCTATCTTAATTCTTACTTCCCAACAGCACGTTTCCTATTCCATTTTAGGTGGACTGGACGCACGCAATTACAATATCTCTCTTACGATAAATCAACTACTTTGTTTTGAAAATTACGAAATCTGTCCCACTCTCTGTAGATGGTCAGGCAAGACCGCGGTTTCGATCCTAATCGTGTGGATCTCGTCAGTTGCCGATTAACTAAATAAACTGGTAGAGATTCGTTCTCGGTATCCCTAGTATCGAAAGACATTATAACGGCAGATGGGCTACTAACCGCCCCGGGCCAAAGCAATGCCATTCAGAGAATGAAGAAAACATGATGGATGCCTCATACGACACCGCCACTGAAGATGATCTCCTCGGTAAGTCTGAGGATAACGAACAAATCCCTCTGTACCAAATGCCTAGCAGAACATGCCCAGAATCCCTACAATGTGGGGCGAGGGCCAAAATAAGAGCAGACGAGGATTTCAAAAATGAGTTAAAGCAAATCCTTAATAACGCGGAGCAAAACACAGTAAAGGCGATCATGTGCTTCTATGAACGTGAAATCGGTCGTTTTAAGACCGAAATAAAGAAAAGAAAACGAGCCAAAACGGCTGGAACACTGAACACGAAGAACTGTAGTAGGATCGAATCAGCGCGCGTAGCGCAAGCTGAAAGCAATAAAGACAACTTAACGATCGAGACAGTCAAAAAAATAGCTGTACATCTACACAGGCAAACGATTCGAAAAAGACGCAATCCCTGATGTGCGTACTCATTTTAAACAAACTGAGACATTTCAGTATACACACTTATATAGTTCCTATCACCCACAAGGAAAAAAAAAAGACTTCATAAAAGGGGAGACCCTTACACTTCCAAGGACAAACTCCTCTCAAACAATATTCGAGGAGAAAATTACAAATGAAGCGCATTTGCTAAAGAGAGGCTACCCAGAGGACCTCATTAGCACAACCCTCTCAGAAGTGAATTAAAAAACAGGGAATTAGCTCTTCTACAGAAGCAAAAGACGAACCAATGAATCTTGCCTTTCGTTACACAATACCAACCATCAGTGCCAGACCTAAAGGAAACTCTCATGAGACACTGGCATTTAATACAAACACAACCACTACTGAACGAAATATACAATCAGAAGAGGACTGTCGTCCAAAGACATACTCGTTAGGGCCAAACTTTGAATAGGCTACTCTAAACACGCGCTGGGGAGTCGTGTAGGCCTGCCAACCCCATTTTACATTGGCGTTTGGGTTACCGTTACTACAGACTTAAGCTATCGATGTCTCTGACTTACCGCTGTTTGATTTTCAAAAGTTTTTTAACAAAGAGGAAATTGGGAGAGGCAGTTATGGCGCTGTTTCTACAGCAGAACATAACCCACGTGGCAGCGGAAATTCGCCGGAGAAAGTTGTCGTTAACAAGGTACTTGGTGGGGACCTCGAAGACAAGAGAAATTTTGTTAAGGAGGCGAGGATTCTTCGAGAGTTGCAGCTTCTAAATATTGTCGAGTTTACGGGAATCTGCACCACACCAGTAGCCCTAATTCTGGAATATGCTTACTTCGACTTCATGCCCTTTGCAATGAACTCAAGAGTGAGCTCCCTATCCGGCTTTCTTGCCGCACTCAACGACTATGATTGTGCAGGCTTTGACGACCCACTTATTTTTTCCGGTATATCCAAAGACATTGCGAATGGTCTGCAATACCTTCACCACGGAAATGTTGCACACCGGGATTTAAAGCCGGCAACCATTTTTGTCAGCAACCAACATTATTGCCAGCTGATAAAGGAAGAAATCGGAAAAGTGCGGATCGAGTGCCCCATGGTTTGTAAATTGGCTGACTTCGGTGAAAGTCGGTCGAGTGAGATGCAGACAAAGTCAATTCTAAATTCTCAGACTCTCCGAGTAAATCGTGGCACCCCTGTATATCAGGCCCCGGAGATTCTGGTTGGCAAGACACGTTTGTCAGTCGCCACTATTGAAGATATGAAGAAGGCTGATATATGAGGACTGGGAATGAGTCTATTTGTTTTAGTGAATCCTTCTGTGAAGTACCCATATCACAGGGAAATTGAGCGCGCCATGGCTAAGGGGAAAACGTGTCTTCAACTTGTAGAGGCCATTTTGGCCGACATAAAGCTTCCTATCGAGCCCTTCAAGTACCAGCACAAACATGCCCCTGATTGGTATAACATACAACGAATTTACAAGGACTGTGTTCAGTTTAGTCCAGAAAATAGGCCAAATATTGATCAAGTGGTCCACATGATCAGCCAAGTACCTTCTGCGTACACCATGGATATCCATTTAAAAGTTAGCCAAGCATCAGCATTGGAGGTTTTTGACTGTAACGTAGCCTGTAACGTAGAAACAAGGCTGGGCATTTAACCCCTCGAAAACTCTAGGATCTCCCAGTGACAGGGTTATTTAATGTCATGAACGCTTTAAAGCAATAGATGATTCCGAAGAAACCTCAGACAAAAACCCAAGTCGAAATTTTTTTATAAGTGAAAATCGTCGGGGGCCCTGTTGTTTATTACACTCCTTTGATGTCTAGGAGTCGTTAAAAGCAGTTTCCAGCTGTTTCCGAGTGATTTTGAGGGGGGTCTTCGTTTTCTACACACCGGAGAGGATGTGTAGATAACGAAAACCCTGGTCGAAATTCTTTATAATTGAAAATCTTCAGGAGCTGTGTTGTTTTTTTACACTCCTTTGATGTCTAGGAGTCTTCAAAAGCAGTTTCCAGCTGTTTCTGAGTGATTTTGAGGGGGGTCTTCGTTTTTTACACACGGGGGGGACGTGTAGAAAACGAAGACCCCGGTCGAAATTCTCTATAATTGAAGATCTTGTCTTCTTTACACATCTGAGGCCGAGATACCTGTCTCTAGATGTTTCTGAGTGATTTTGAGGGGGGTCTTCGTTTTTTACACACGGGGAGGACGTGTAGAAAACGAAGACCCTGGTCGAAATTCTCTATAATTGAAGATCTTGTCTTCTTTACACATCTGAGGCCGAGATATCCGTCTCTAGATGTTTATGAGTGATTTTGAGGGGGGTCTTCGTTTTTGGGTCTTAGGTCTTAGGTCTTCGTTTTCTACACACCCTTATTCTAGGTGAAATCCCATGGGGATCCTTAAGGGGTCATGCTTTTCGAAATTTGATCTTGTATATTACCACAGTAAACGTCTCAGCAAGTTCCTGACTCGGTTACACATATGCTGACTGCGACGAGTATTAATCGAAACTCCGTCGAACAAAAGTCGAACTATATTTCACCGTCGATAGAGGTGTTCCGGTATCATTTCCAAAAGTCGATATGAGTTGGTCTGCCGTTGACAAATCAATTTGTTTACATCTGAGGGAGTGACAAATTTGCATATCGTGACTCTTTACAGTGGTTGTTCCAACTTAATTCGCAACCACGATTTAAAAAATTTGCGTAAATTTTGTTTACTCCGATTCGATAAACTTAGATTCGATATCTAAAATACTGTATGCTGAGAAGTCTAATGAACAATTCTTATGGCTTGCTGACTTTAAGTGAGTTGACATATTAAACACGCAAAAATTTAATTGGGTAGATTTTGCCCTCGTCAAAAAAAAATGCAGTATTATCCTAAATAAGTAAAAGACTATCATATCATATAAGGACAAAAAGTGCTACATTTGATTGATGTAAATACTAGGTATTTGTATTGGAAAGCTTGAAACACCTTGATTCTGCTCTTACAAAAATGTCAGACTACAAGAATAATCATAATTATATCATAAATATTTCCAATTTAGTTTCTTTAGCTTGTCCATCTATGTAATAACTGAGTAGATCATTGGCAGTTGATTCACCAGCATTGACTGGCAAATTTGTTAAGTGTGGGTCAACTTATTCTCAAATTGATGAAATGAACGAGGTATTAGTTTCAGAATATGTACTTGCGCCGTCTAGACAGACTACGACTAAGGAGCGTTTGCTCCTCCTGCACCAGCCCTTCCAAATGCTTCAACAGTCAACTCTAGGGCCGAGAAGGATGAAAGCTCAATTTGATAATGGAAATAGGTTAGCGATGGTTTCCTCCTTGAAGAAAAATGTTTAATAGGAAGTGATATTGGACTACTTCATCCAGTTTAGACAAAAGTTTGCGGGGTTTTACTAAAAGCAGGCCCGCGGCCCACGGCCCACGGCCCTGCGGCCAAGCAGCCCGAAGGCCAGCGGCCCGCAACTGCCTGCGACTCAGAGGCCCAGTCCTGATTTCCACAGTTTTTTTGTCCAGCAGTAAATCCACGCGCATGCACAAATCTGTACCGGGTTTGGGCGTGCAAAATGGACGACAGTGAGGTTGAATTCGTTTCATAACGAGCCTCACGCCGTTAGCAACCAAAAAAAGTCTAGGTATCCAGCAGAGAATCCGTACTTTTAGTCCGCATTCTCTGCTGGATACCAGTGGCTTGCTTGGGTAAAATTTTTGATCGTATTTCGCTCCTAATCTGATAGAGGCGTCAACTTTTACACAATCATGTCATCATCCTATGGCGTGAAAAGGTAATTAAAGAAGCCGTATCCGAAAAAAGTGTACATGGCCGGCGCTTAAAAATAGTGACAAGACAAAGCGCTCGCCCGGAGTGTGTTGCGGCAGTTACAGTCACGTCGAAGAAACATTTCTTAGTCAATGCTTGCGGATTTAGTTAACTTCATTAATACTGACATAGGCTGCGACGCTTATTTACTACGACATTTAACTGGCGGCCTGAGTGTTTTGTTTTCTAATCAATTTTACCAGATTTTTGTTTTCGGATCGGAAACAAAGTAAATTCCAGAACCGACGACTTTTTTTCCGCTGTGTTCGGAATCTTTGACAGCTGACGCTTGGTGCTGTAATTTTTGAGCATCCGGTTACCAGTTATTGGGAATAAACTCGGCGTATTACAACCTATAATTTCTTTTGCTGTTTAACGCAGAGTCCACAATACATGGCGGCTTTTTCTCACTGATATTTTATGTCGCATTTATAGTTTACACACTGTTCCAGTTTTTTTAAACGATATTCATGCAGTACACATAAGATTCTTTGTCACTGGCCTTCATATGACCTATATTGGTGCCGGAATCCTCTAGATAGTTGCGAGAGATTACAGACATTATAGGTACGATGTGATTAACGCACTGGTGTTGAAAATCTCTTTGCGCTACCTCCTCCGCAACGATGATTAAAATCGTGAATAAACAGAGACCGGGGGTAATAATAATTGTTTTCAAATCAAGATAGATGTTGAACAAGCTGACAAAGCTTTTAAACAGACAAAGACCAACTTTCGTTTAATGACACGTTACGAACAAGTTTAAACTCCCTTGAACTTTAACAGGGTTCGTACTGTCTTGCAAGTCTGTTAATTTCNATGTAATCAAAGGAAGCTGTAAATAAGTCGTGGATACGTTATGTTTGAACGAGTTTTGGTTTCGTGTCAGTGCAAATGCTGACTGCACACAGCAGACTATAGACTGGAGACAAAATGCATGCTGAGAATTCAAAAGGCTTTTCGGATTTGGTGTACGATGTGGTTTTCGGGTTTTTTTCCTATTTGGCATCCGGTTTCACTTCGATCTTACTGAGCGGCAATTGTGCGCCTCAGCTGATCTCAAATAGCCGCGAAAAGCAAACTTAGAGGGGAATGTGTGACAAACCAAATGTCACCCATGAGGTAACTTATTCTAGGTGAAATCTCGTGGGGATCCTAAGGGGTCATGCGTCTCGAAATTTGCCCTTGTATATTACCACAGTAAACGTCTCAGCAAGTTCCTGCTGACCCGGTTACACATAAGCTGACTACGACGAGTATTACTCAAAACTCCCTCGAAGAAAAGTCGAATTATGTTTCACCGTCGCGGCATTGCTTCGGAAAGTCGATAGAGGCATTACGGTATCATTTCAAAAACTCGATATGAGTTGGTCTGCCGTTGAAAAATCAATAATTTGTTTACATCTGAGGGAGTGAAAAATTGCATATTGTGACCCTTGCAGTGGTTGTTGTTCCAACGCTTTGCGTATCGACGGATAATAGAAACTAGCCACATCTTGATTCGCAACCATGATTTAAAAAAATTGGGTAAACTTTGTGTACTCTGATTTGATAAACTTAGATTCGATATCTAAATACCGTATGCTGAGAAGTCTAGTGAACAATTTTTATGGCTTGCTGAACACTAAATGAGTTGACATATTAAACACGAAAGAATCTCATTTTATAATTTTTGCGCCCTCGTCAAAAGAAAATGTAGCATTCTCCTCAATAAGTAAAAAACTATCATATCATATAAGGACAGAAAGTGCTACATTTAATTGATGTAAATACTAGGTATTTGTATTGGAAAAGTTGAACCACCTTGATTCTGCTCCTACAAAAATGTCAGACTACAAGGATAATTATAATGATATCACGAATATTTTCAATTTAGTTTCTTTTGCTTGTTCATCTATGCAATAACTGAGTAGATCTTTGGCAGTTGATCGACCCGCATTGACTGGCAAATTTGTTAAGTGTGGGTCAACTTATTCTCAAATTTTGTCATGAAATGAACGAAGTATTAGTTTCAGAATATCTACTTGCGCCGTCTAGACAGACTACGAGAAGGAGTGTTTGCTCCGACTACACCAGCCCTTCCAAATGCTTCAACAGCCAACTCTAGGGCTGAGAAGGATGAAAGCTCAATTTGATAATGGAAATAGGTTAACGATGGTTTTCTCCTTGAAGAAAAATGTTTAATAGGAAGTGATATTGGACTACTTCACCCAGTTTAGACAAGAGGGCGCGTAGTGGGTTAAGTTTCTACATACAACGTAGGCTTCAGAAGTTTTCCACCCATGAAGCCTTCGCTTATTTTCTCTTTCTATTTCGTAAATTGGTGCCGCAACAATCCACTTAGAACTAGATAGGAATATTAAACGATTGTTACCTACCTGAGTAATGGATTACACTAAGAAGTAAAAGGAATCGACAAACGAGGACAAACTTCA